TGTCCCACAGTGACCCTCACCCCACATACTCTGTCCCACAGTGACCCTCACCACCACTCCCTGTCCCACAGTGACCCTCACCACCACTCCCTGTCCCACAGTGACCCCTCACCCACACACTCTGTCCCAAAGTGACCCTCACCCCCACTCCCTGTCCCACAGTGACCCCTCACCACACACTGTCCCACAGTGACCCTCACGCCCACTCCCTGTCCCACAGTGACCCTCACCCTCACATCCTGTCCCATAATTACCCTCACCCCCACTCCCTGTGCCAGTGCCTCCTCACCCACACAATCTGTGCCACAGGCACAGGCTCAGTTTACACTGTCCTACTCTAGCAACCTACCCAATCGCAAGTAATTTATACCCCAACAATGGCACTCAAAGCCCCTGGTCCACATTGCAGATATAAACAGAAAATGCTGGAAATACTCAGCAGGTCAGGCAGAGGGACAGGCAACTTTCCAAGTCACTGACCTTCCATCAGAACTGGGAAAAATTCTGGAAACTATAACACTGACATCTACCCAACAATGTACAAAGTTATCCAGGTATGTCCTGTAGACAGAAAGCAGGACAAATCCAACCCGGTCAATTAGCACCCCACAGCTTTTCTCGATCATCACTAAGGAGTCACCAACAGTGCTATCGAGCAGCATCTGCTCCACAACAGCCTCCTCAGTGAGGCTCAGTTTGGTCGCTACAAGGTTGCTCAATCTCTAACCTCATTCCAGCCTTGGTTCAAACAAGGACAAAACAGATGAATTCCAGAGATGAGTGAGGTGAGAGTGACTGCCCTTAATTGCAAAGCAGAAGTTACAATTCCAGAGCCAAAGAGAATAGAGATGGGACAGGAAAAGAATCAAAAGCGGAAGTGATGCTGGCTGAAAACAATAGTAATAGAAAAAAACCACAGGAAGAAAGGAAGGGGAACAAAATGGAGGCAGAGATTATGGTCTGCAATTGTTGAATCAATGTTGAGTTTGGAACATTCTAAAGTTGAAAGATGAAATGCCGTTTCTCAAGCTCATATTCCATTTGTCGCTGGTGGATCCAACAACTGTTCTCTCTCTGGTTTTTCAGTGTATACATCAAATTCCTTCCAGCAGTCCAGCTCTTTGTTTTGCATCCTTTACCAACTTCTAACTTGTTTGCTAAAACTTCTCTATTTAAGGGCTTCCTCTTCTTGTTGTGTTCCCACCCTATTCCATAGTCCTTGTTGTAGTCAAATTATGACCAAATTCATCGTCCAATCTTGTCCTAGATCATTGCTACAAGATCTCCTCCTCCTTTGATCAGAATTTCTTTCGCAAGTTCACTGCTTTTCTTTGGCAATATTCACTTCCAGTTCCACTTTCAGAACTCATTGTACATTTTCTGGCCTTCTGAATTTATTAACTGTTCAGTCTTATAGCTCCTTTCACACCCAAGAACTATTCGCTTTCCTGTTTAGGTATTTTTAATTAACATGTTCACAAAGTAATGAAACACCTCTGGAGCAGCTAGGACCTCACCCAGACCTACTGACCCAGAGGTAGGGACTTTACCACTATACCACAGGAACCTCTTGTTTTCCTATTTATGTCTACTCAGTCAAGCAGATATTTTCCGTATCAACTTGTTCAGACATGTTATTACACACCTCTGGAATAGATGCGACTTGAACCCAGGCCTCTTGGCCCAGAGGGAGTGACAATTCTATTGTACTACACAAGCCCCAATTCTACCCAGTTATTAATTATCAATTAAATTCAGTCACAGTGTTTGACAAGGTTCCTCATGATAGCCTAGTTAGCAAGGTTAGATCACATGGAATACAGGGAGAACTAGCTATTGGGCTAAAAGGTAGAAGACAGAGCATGTGGTGAAATGTTGCTTTTCAGACTGGAGGCCTGTGACCAGTGGTGTGCCACAAGGATCGATGCTGGGTCCACTGTTTCTCGTCGTTTATATAAATGTTCTGGATGTGAACATAGGAGATATGGTTAGTAAGTTTGTAGATGACAGCAAAATTGGAGGTGTAATGGACAGTGAAGAATACAGATGATCAGACGGGCCAACACGCCAAGGAGTGGCAGATGGAGTTTAATTTAGATAAATGTGAGGTGCTGCATTTTGCAAAAGGCAAATCAGGGCAGCACTTATACACTTAATAGTAAGGTCCTGGGGAGTGTTGCTGAACAGAGAGACCTTGGAGTGCAGGTTCATAGTTCCTTGAAAATGGAATTGCAGGTAGACAGGATTGTGAAGAAGGCATTTGTGTGCTTGCCTTTATTGGCCAGTGCATTGAGTATAGGAGTTGGGAGGTCATGTTGCAGCTGTACAGGACATTCATGAGGCCACTTTTGGAATACTGCATGCAATTCTGGTCTCTTTGCTATAGGAAGAATGTTGTGTAACTTGAAAGGGTTCAGAAAAGATTTTTGTGGATGTTGCCAGGGTTGGAGGGTTTGAGCTATAGGGAGAGGCTGAATAAGCTGGGTCTATTTTCCCTGAAGCATTGAAGGCTGAAGGGTGACTTTATAGAGGTTTATAAAATCATGAGGGGCATGGATAGGGTAAATAGCCAAGGTCTTTTCTGCAGGGTGGAGTGGTCCAAGACCAGAGGGCATAGATTTAGGGCGAGAGGGGAAAAATTTAAAAGGGACCTAAGAGACAACTTTTTCACGCAGAGGGTGGAGCATGTATGGAATGAGCTGCCAGAGGAAGTGGTGGAGGCTGGTACAAGTACAACATTTGAAAGGCATCTGGTTGTGTGTATGAATAGGAGGGTTTAGAGGGATATGGGCCAAACGCTGGCAAATAGGACTAGATTACTTTAGGATATCTCGCCTGCATGGATGATTTGGACTGAAGTTTCTGTTTCTGTACTGTATATCTCTGTGACTCTGTGACGCTATGACCCACTTAACTATTTACTATGTTAATGAATGTGAAACTTTCATTCCATTTCTCTTCCACCCCATCACAAACCTTTCCTTTTCACTCACTATTCACTCAAAACTAATTACACTTCCATCTTTTCACAAGTCTGATGAAAGCTTATCGATGAAACATTTCTCTCTCCACAGATGCTGCCAGACCTTGCTGAGTTTTTCCAGCATTTTGTGTTTTTATCAGAGTTTTCCAGCCTCCACAGTATTCTGCTTTTCAGCCCATTGCTGCACGTGTCTGTGGCTCCATCAGATTGTACTGCCCCGATGTGGTATGGAAATCCCAAATAAAACCTCAGATTTGATCTTAGTTAACATTTCGCAGCTGAGGTGTGGTTATGTTGCCACAAGTAACCTTCACGCCTGGAATAGCAGGGTGCAGGGTGCTTAGAAATCAACTCAGATTTCCGTTCCTGATCAGCATCCAAGAGTCAAGAATTTTTTTCTCTCAAACTGGACAAGATAATCAGAGAAACCTTCCCTCAGTTCAGTTTTTGAACAACATCTGGATCCCAAATGTTGGTATGCTGATTTATATAATTATTCCAAAACAAATAATTTAGAGTCAAATCTATTTTCTGATTCCTTCTTGACCCTTACCCAGAATTGCATTAGGAGTGAATGTTTAGTCCCTGGCAGTGCTTTCATAGGTGACTTGCGAACACACCGTATAATCATGACATTTCTGCTGGAGTCTGTCTCACAATGAACAGATTGTTCTTCACTTTCCACATAGGTAAGATCTCTTTGAGAGATTTTACAATTTATAACTAATTGATTGAAAACAGCAAAGCCAGAACAGACTTAGGATCAACCCTGGAACATTAACAATTGTGAGACTTTTAATTCTGCCCCATATCATGACACCTCTAGCTGTCTAAGCCGTCTTAGTTTTAATCCGCAAACTATGACTGTAACTGGCTCTGTAAAGCAGTAAATTAGGTAGGAGCTAGCTTCACCTTCCCATATAACCTGATAAAGGACTAAGTTCCGTTTAAAACAGCTCAGAGATATTGGCCATCATGTGTTGAGCTTATTCACTATTCTCTAGGTCAGTCTTGAGAACAGCAGCTTCACAGAAGAGATTCAACAAGAAAACATGCATGAGATGTATATGTCTTTATTACCTGATCAGAGGAAATTGCTTCAAGTAACAGACAGTCAGTAAGTTACATTGAGGGTAACAGACAGTCAGCAAGTTACATA